TCAAGTGCTTCGTCAAGTCTTTGCAGGCCAGATGTAGCGACAGATGAGGAGAACAGACAATGCACTGTATTTAGCTGTTCTGACCTTGTCACATGCCTTTAAGTACATTTAAAGTATATTAAAGTACATTCAAGTTTATTCTGCGCATAAGCCTGTCCAGACGTTCACACTGCTGTGTTGGCTGTATGTTTCTCAAGCCTTTCTCTTTCTCACCACAGTAGAATCCTCTCAGGATTGATGCAGCACAGCATGATGGTCTAAATCTGCTCGTCCTGATCTCATTTTGGTATTCTGCCATGAAGCTGACTTGTACATGAAACCTTGTATCTTGAAGTTCTCCAGAAGTGGCCTTGGGGCGAGAATGTCAGGTGATGACAAGAACAAGTGTCTAATCTTTTCTTCTCACTTCCCTTTTCAACAACATTAACATAGGAAGAGCAAAACACATATGACTGCTGTACTCAAGTGTACATCAAACAAAATAATGCAAGGTAAAATGAAATAAAATCGGACTGCATCAAACTGACTACAGTTCATTTTGTGCTGAATTACAAGCATGACATTTAGGAGACATTTAGAAACAATGTCATACCTTGTGAAAAAGAAGCAAACTGAAGCATTCTTTTGAAAAGAGTACAGAAAAAAATATTTAAATCAACATAATTGTGAACACTTTGTTGCATGTTAATTACAATTACATTTATTATTGTATTATAGTTTAAATTTATATTAAGTGCAATTAGTTGAATTTAAGAGTGCTTTTTTGACCCAATTAAGTAGGACTTAAGTAGGACTCTATTGTCTTTGAAATATGCTGATTGTACTGACAAGCATGTATGGTAAACTAAAATATAATTTAATGTCGCTATTGAAAATTGTATGTCATTTACTTAAATATTTTTCAAATGATATATTTGTTATGATAAAGTTGCAATTTAGAACATTTAAAATATGCTCAAATAATAAAATGCCTTATTAAAACGAATATCAATGTAATATCAAGTAACACTGCAGTTAAAATTGTAAACAAATACTTTACAAATGCATTAGTATGTTAGTCAACACATTAAAATAAGTGTACTTCATTAAAACATGAGAAAAGATTATTAAAGCAATGATTTTAAATTGTACTTTAAAGTAAAAATGCACTTTTTAAGTGTACTTAAGTGTGTTAAGAAACAGTAATTAAATGTAATTCTCTTTTATGTACACTTATATTTCATTAATATTATATTATCTGCAAGTACAGTTTTTTTTTATTAAATATAACAATACAATTAAATATCCTTTTATGATTTGAAGTAAGTGCACATTCAATACAATTAAGTGCACTTCTTTTTCACAAGGTATTTTAATAATTTAGCACAAACTTTGTAATTAATAAAGTACAATGTTTGATTTTAAGGACATTTTAATTTTCACATGGTAAAAAAATGTTTGTAGTGTGTTGTGTCAGCAAAGTTGACATTTATGCAAATGAGAATGGGAGAGCAGACGGTGTCTTGTCAACACAAATCCTTCAATTATATACCTATAATAACAACAGAGATTATATTATGGTGTTGCAGTACTGCTCTGGAAACTTCATCCAAGTTTTGGTGGCAATTTATTATGTTGAAATACATTTATGCAAATGAGAATGGGAGAGCAGACGGTGTCTTGTCAACACGAATCCTTCAATTATATACCTATAATAACAACAGAGATTATATTATGGTGTTGCAGTACTGCCCTGGAAACTTCATCCAAGTTTTGGTGGCAATTTATTATGTTGAAATGAGTAACGCTGACACTGCATGGCCATAAAGTGACCCAGGAGAGTAAGCAGGGCAGATAACAAAACATATAGGGGTTCATTATCTTTAGCATTAGCATCCAGCTTCATACTGATCTGGAGAACATGTTATAAGAGTTTACTTCACTTTCATTTGCATTCTGCTTGTCATTACCAAAATTTAAGGCACTCAGTTTTATGTACCAAAAACAGAAGTCAACAGCAGGTCAGTTGACCTCAGGTAAGTGTGATGAACACAACAAAAATGACGCATTCAAATGTGAAACACATACGTTTTGTGGGTGTACACTATGTTCTCTCTGTCTCACCACAAAAGCACAGCAAGTACACAGCAAGGCCTCTGCGGAGGAGGAAGTCACACACATGCACGCACTCGTGTTCATACACGTCGACAACAGGCAGTTTCACCTATTTTTAAACAGATGGCCCACAAAGAAACATGATTTACTCCTATGAGTCTTACTAATAGAGAAACTCTACAATTCTTACTTGTCAAAGCCGCCTGCAATAAGTGTGCTTATGAACTGCCATGCAAGGCATAAGGAGACATATTTTTGGGATCCTCCACATTAAGCTTGCTGACAAGGTGAATGGTTGTGAAATATATGGGTGCTGTTGGAAGTTATAATATCACAGACCCCTGCTTCACACCGACACGGGAACAGTGCAGTACGGGCAACAGAGAGTCAGTCATTTGCTGACTCTATCAACTATGATTTGGGCCTAAAAATGAGTCAGCCACACAACTTTCATGGCTAAAAAGATGAAGGGCAATAAAAAAGTTCAGTTGTATATTTAATTAAAGCATAAAATGGATGATGCATTACCTTATGAAAGCCATTATGTGGACGTTTTAACATGGAAAACAACCAATCAGATGCAAAGCTTAACCCTATAAAGCAATATGCAAATGCCTTTCAATTATAATAATGACTAAAAAAATGCATGCACGTATGTATATATATATATATATATATATATATATATATATATATGTATATATATATGTGTGTGTGTGTGTGTATGTGTGTGTGTGAGAGACTGTGTATACATACATACACCAAACTGTATTACATGTGCATTTATTACTTTAAAGACTGCAGGCATTTAACTTTGCTATAAGCATTGCACCATAATATCTGTTTATTCAACAGTCACATGCTTGTTCAAAGGCATTCGGTAAGAAAACCAGATCCTCTGTGTTTCTAGACTGTGGCGTTCGTTTATGTCTCACTTGTGCTATAGGTCACCGCACAGATAGAGGGGGCAGTGCCTCAGGTGTTTGCTTAAGTTTGTTGACTTATACTGTACTTCCCACCCCTGTCCTTCACAGCATGTGACATATGTTGAATAACATGTTTTTCTCAGGCCCTGATGGAAAATGCTGCACTGTAGGTGTGTGCAACAACTGCATGTAGGGACCAATGTACGTGATGCAATGCATGCAGTGTCTGTAAGAGCTAAGGAGGTCCAGTTCATTGGAAATGGATACACTTGAGGAGTCAGAGGTTTCTTTCAAATGCATGCACCTCCATTTCTATGATGTATGATTATGTCCTATAACCCCATGCAGCATGTAAGCTGTTTTCTCCTCTTCTCTGATTTCAGACCGCTGAAAAGGAGCACATCTGATTCAACACTTTGTGAAACCCCAAACCTCAGAACACAACTACTTCCCTGATCAATCATAAACCATAATTGTATTTATACTCTGGTATTTGTTTCTTCATAATGTCTTGATAATTGTTTATTATTTAGATTTATATAGATACATCTTATTTTTGTTATTATTCCCGACAGCTTGTAATTGTTAAATTGTATATTTCCTTTTTTTTTTTTGTCATTAATTGTTTCATGCATAATACTTTGTCAATAAAGCATGTAAACAAACTAATCAAGCTATCAAAGTACTGCAAATTGAATTGAATTAAGTTTAATATTAGAGGGGAGCTGATGTTTTTCCAGCAAGTTTTGTTAGCTCAACTTTTAGCTCTGCAGAACAACATAAATCTGTCACTGAGGAATGATGCGTAAAATAAGATGAATATCTAGAATCGTTGTGCTTAACACACACTAAACCAGGGGTGTCCAAACTCGGTCCTGGAGGGCCACTGTCCTGCAGAGTTTAGCTCCAACTTGCCTCAACACACCTGGCTGCCAGTTTCTAGTATGCCTAAAACCTTGATTAGCTGGTGCAGGTGTGTTTAATTGGGGTTGGAGCTAAACTCTGCAGGACAGTGGCCCTCCAGGACCGAGTTTGGACACCCCTGCACTAAAGCATGCATTTCAAAATTGCAGAATAAAAAAATAAATAAAAATTCGGGATTACAGACAATTAAAGTACGAAAGCCAATTATTACGAGATTACGTACTAATCTGACTCTTGTAAAGTCCAGCACGTGCAGTTGTGAAATGAAAGCACTAAAGCATACGTTATTTTTATTTATTTTTGTGTGTGTTGATATTGCTTTGTGAAATCTTGCCTGCACTGGTTTAGTTCATTCACTGAAAAGAAATATCGCCACCTGCCAGTTGATACAAAGAAAAACTCTCTAACCCTAAACAAATAGCTCACATGAAATTGTCCTCATTTACTCACATTCAATACAAACCCAAGTGACTTTCATTCTACTCTGGAACAAAAATGGAAAAAAATGTAAGAATGTCCACTCTAAACCATAATTTTCCATATAATGGAAGTGAATAAAGACCTAAACTTCAGAAAAAAATTGGATCACATGGTGCCTAAAAATTAATTTTTTCCCTATTATTTATTATACATTCACACACTCAAACCACTCAGACAAAAAACTTAAAACAGATGAAGTCACTCTTATACAGGTGTAATTCACGATTCAAGGCATTATCTGGTGTAAACATGAGATGCATTAACTATGCAGGCAAACGGTCTGTAGTGTCCTCTCCTGTCTGACAAAAAGGAATGATGGCTTCTGTGTGCTGCCTTTTTAAGCAGAGCTTTCCAATTACAATAATAAAACTGAAATTAAAAGCCGATTGTCTTTCAGTAACATTCCAGCACTGTTGGAATAGCAGCAGCAGCAGCAGTCTGTCTCGATCACGATCTGTTTCCACGAAGCAGCTTAGAAATCCCAGAACGGCATCTTTAGCAGCAGCACTCACTCTCTGGATCCTAACAACATCAGTCACAATCACATTCAGTATGTGTAGCACATAGCACGGGCTTGAATCAAGACGCTTCTTCTTGAAATGCATACTTTCACTCTCACTCAGAAATATTCATCCCCCAGTGAGAAGAGCTTTAAATAAAATGCCTGTTAAATGCATTAGCAGACAGCTTCATCCATATTGTCATCACTATCCGCTCCGAAATCCTCTCCGTTGTCAAAGTAGGAAATGATGTAGTCTGTCTCCTGAAACACAGTACACATATTCTGCTCTTAAAAATGCTTTACTAGGAGCCTTCCTAAGCTGCTTGGATATTTAAAGAGTGATAGTGCTAATCATTTCAAACCATATTTTTTACATAAGGGCTAAGCCAATGGAGAGTAACAGTGATTTATACTGCCTAAGAACCAAAATATCTCCTTTTGTGGAAAAAAGGAAGGAAGAAAATTTGCAAATGACAGCACCACAAAGATTGTAAGATATTAGCTATCAAATTATGATGATTTCTTCTTACATCTTCAAGCTCCTCTTCATCATAGTCTTCATCCGGCTCCTCCTCTTCCTCCTCATTCTGTTTCTTCTTCTCTTCATCCTCCTCTTCCTCAGAATGCTGCTCTTGTTCTCTTTTCTCAAGTGTCTAAATGTCATTGCACAATATTAACGTTGCATGCATGGATGAAACATCAGCATTGAAAACAGAAAAGTAGGAGAAGGCAGAAAAGCACACGTGTCATTTGTTAATTTGAGTTTCTATTTAAAGTTTTTTCAGTTAGCTCACCCTTAATCTGATTTTTGAAACTTTTTTCCAATTTATTTGAATGTCAAAGCATGGTTACAACATCTTATGCACAGCACAGTTAATGCAACATAACACAGTATTATGCTTTCTGTGAACTTATACCTCTAGTTTTTGGAGAACCTCTTCTTTTCTAGCAGCTACTTTTGGTTTTTGTGTGAGTTGTGGTTTGGCACCTATGAATTAAAATGGAGCAGAAGTATTAAAAAACATGCTTTACACATATTATAACATGCATTAGCATTAATATCAAGACTGTGAACCTACACACATGATTAATGATAATAATAATAATAGTAATAGAGTTTCTCTCACCTGTTTTCCTTGTTTTCTGTACTTTAATGCAAAGCTCTTTTGGCATTCGGCTCCAGTCTGGAATTAATTTGAATATTTTTTAGAGAGAACTAACTTTGAAATAGATTTGACTATAAAACAAGTCTGCTGTAGCACAGTAACTAAAGAATGGTACTGATTAAAATCCTCTTTTCAAATACATCTGTCAGATCTCCTGACCGATTCATTTCCATTCATGATTACTAAATACTGTAAGTATTTTTTTTTTATTGAATAGAAACGGAATATAATAGAGATTAGAGAATGTCCACTTGTACACCACATGTTCAAAAGTTTGGGGTTGGCATTTTGAATGTTTTTGTAATTTTTGTAAATTACATTGTATGGTAAAAACAGTAATATTGTCAAATATCAATACAATTTACTATAAGTGTTTTCTATTTGAATATTTTCAATTGACTGAAGAATTTATTTACATTTGCATTGTTATGTAATTTAATACATTAGTGTATTTTCAGCAGCCATTACACCAGTTCAAAAGAACAGCATTTATTTGAAATAGAAACATTATTAATGTCTTTACTGCCACTTTTGATCAATTTAATGTGCCCTTGCTTTATTTTATAAAAGTATTCGTTTCTTACTGACTCCAAACCTTTTAACTATGTGTCAGATACCAATCATTGGATTTCATCGATTTAAACAGATATACATTTTAGTTCACAAAAAGCATCCATTTGAACGCGGTTGATTTCAGATTTAAGGTTTCTTCTGTTTTATCATCTGTAGTGTCTCACCTGGACTCCATTCAATGCAGTTGTACTTCGGCTCTCCATTTTGATATTTATCAGAGTAACGTGCCACATCTAAAAAAGAAAACAACAAAGAGAGCCGTTCAAACCTGATCTTCAGCTGATGGGTCGTTGGCTTTGAATATCTCTCAGTGACTGCCCACAGTTCAAATGCAAATCCAGAGACCCCAGGATCTCGTTCTCCAAGTCATGCTGGATCTTCATCCTTTGTGCTCAGAATTGGCCACTCTTTATACACCAATGTATCGCCCACATGTTGCCTCCACCCGTCTTACCTGTCTTTGTTCTGGCTGCTTTTATGTGGAACGGCAGGTTCTTGCTGGAGGCTCTCAGCTCCTGCTTAAGAGCGAGCATGTAGTCCACCTCTTCTCCTGTATGCAGAGGCACTGGCCTAAACTGCATAGGCTGAATGAACAATAATATAAATTTTAAAAAATAACATTATTTTTTAAAGAAAGAAAGTAAGTCAGTCAGTCACACAGGTTAATGAAAATAAAATATTTGAAATAAATATAAAATAATTAATAAAAATAGTAAAAAGTAATATTAAAAATAATTAAATAATTAAAAAAAATAGACAATAAATTAATTATTACTGCCAAATTCAAAAAAAGAACAAAAGCAGCAAATAACAAATATATCCTTTTGTATTTAAAAGAAAGAAAGAAAGAAAGTCATACAGGTAAATGGCCTAAATAGCATAGGCTGAAAGAAAAAAAGAGTATACATATAAAATATTAATATTAAAATATAAAATAATTACATTAAAAATACAAATATATTAAATAATTAAATTTTTACTGTCAAACTAAAAAAATGACTAAAGCAGCATACACCATTTTTTCTTAATAAATACAAAAAAAATAATAATAAAATAAAAACAAATGTTACATACAGCAAACCCCAAAATGCTTTTGTTTTGGACTGTTAAACCACACTTTAAAATACTGCATTAGAAACAAAATCTCAAACAAAAGCTTTTCTCAGAACAATCACTTTTCACAAACCAATATATGTGCAATAACAACAACTGATGTTATATTACGATGTAAAGACACTCGATTAGCCGTTAAACACTTACAGGAAAAAGAGGAGAAGGTGTATGTGCAGATGTGGGTAAAGAATCACCCCTCCCGAATCTGAGTGTGTCCACATTGAAGGTAAACTGGCTCCTTCCGCGACCTCTGTTGCCTGCCATGACTTTACCTGTACAATCAATCAATGTCAGCAAGTATATTATAACTAGCCATTAGCAATAAAAAACATTCACAGCCACGATGAAACCGGACAGGTCCACAAGGTTGACTTTATTTTAAGCAGTAATGTTTGGATTAGTCACTAAACAGCTTACCTTAAACGAGTCTCAGGTTCAGTGTATCGCTTTCACGGAGTTGTCCTTCCAAAACAGCCTCATCTGACCCCAATAAATGTGCGCACTGATCAGCAGCTGCCTGCTGAATGGAAGGCCATGTGTGAGTGCGGCACAGTAGGGATGGGCGGATCAATCCTTAAGTATCGATACTTTGCTTGTTCAAATAGGGCTGCGGTCCCAAAAGCATCAGAAGCGTAAGTAGATCTATACCATTGCCACATTAGTACATACATTACATAACATTGTTACTATATATAGAATTAATTCCGAAAAATGCATGACGGTTTCCACACAAATATGAAGCAGCAATAATAATAAATGCTTCTTGAAAAGCAAATGATATTATACTGATTTCTGAAGGATCATGTGACACTGAAGACTGGAGTAATGATGCTGAAAATTCAGCTTTTATCACAGATGCATTTTAAATGACATTTTAAAATATATTAAAACAGAACATAGTTATTTTTAATTGTTATATTTCACAATATTGCTGCTTTTACGGTTTTTTTTTGTTTGTTTTTTTCCAAATAAGTGCAGCCTTGGTGAGCATGAGACTTAAAAAAATACTACTAAATCTTACTGACCCCAAACTTTTGTGTACATGTAATATTTATTTTGAATTGGCTAGTTTGTGCAAGTACATTTATTTAAACTGGTTGTTAAAAGTTCAAATGGATTGTGTTATGTTTTGTAATTGCTGTTAATAAATCTGTCAGAAAAAAAATATGCTAAAGTTTCACCTTTAGGGGTACAACAGCCTGGCAGCCTTTTACAAAAATTAACCATGGTTGTATTACAGTAACCACAGTTTACCACAGTATTTGTAGTAAAACTGCAGTAACCACAAATTTACCATGGTAATAATAATACATTTTAGTACTTATGTAACACCATGTTTATTTTTCATGAGGTACCCTCAAAGATGCACCTTTGTAACTTATCTACCCTTAAAGCATGCATACTTGTATGGTACTAATATGCTCTCTTTTAGGGGTATAGGTGCACCTTTGAGGTTACTGCTCCAGTAAACGGCTAAAATACAATTATAGTATATTTTATTTCTGACAGTGTAAACAAAAAAGGCCTATGAAATGGCTTTAAAATCTAATATTAAGTGAGTATAATTACTGATTATATTCTTTTAATAATTTAAAAGATCAGTTTAGTTTATAGGTATAGGTATCGGTATCGATATCAACGATACTGGGCTTGAAAATATCGGTATCGGATCGAAAATAAAATAAGAGGTATCGCCCATCCCTCCGGCAGTCACTAGTGCTTGAACACGTGGTAGTTGTGTTTACATCCGGCACATGCACACGTGCGGTCCGTCTCACTTTACAGTCCAACCGGAAAGACTCCTCGCTAGGAAGTTCCTAGTGTTACAAATTATTATATTGCTACTACTACTACTAAGTGTTATTAAGTGGGTATTAACAATCTTAATAATGCTGTATACTTTTTTTTTTGGATGCCACATATAAAAAATATCCCTACCTGAGAGATATCACTGAAATAGTTGTCGTGAGCAGTGTTGGGGAAAGTTACTTTTAAAAGTAATGCGTTATAATATTGCGTTACTCCATAAAAAGTAACTAATTACGTTACTTAGTTACTTTTTACGGAAAGTAATGCGTTACGTTACTTTTACATTGCTCTCTACACAGACTTATTATTGTTATTATTATTATTATTATTATTATTATTACTGCTCTTTCGTGTCGGAGGGCGGGGTTTGTACCGGGGTAGTGGTACTCGAAATATTTATTATAACAGTCTTATTAACCAAGCCATATAGCTGATGCTGAATATTAAATGTCATAATATATAAATAAAAATTAGGTCTATCCCATTTTAAAGGTGTTGTCACACGACACATTTTACCTTGTTCTACACCAATCAGATGTTGTTTGAGATTACAAGATAAGACTATTATAAAAGTTAAAAGATTCACTTAATCATTTTATGGAGATTGTGGTCGCGGATTTTTATAAATAAGTCAAGTACTAATCCTGATAGATTTAAGGGTCATAATAGATGTAAACGATGGCAGAGTCTTGTGATTTGAAGTTGTCTTTCTGAGTATCAAGTATGTTTCTGAGTATCTTTTCTTTTTTTTCTTTTCAGTTTAGTTAACTTTAAGGTCTAGCTGTAATATACCATTTTAATTCAGTTCATACAGTCTAATATGGTATTTGCAAGATATATACCAATATTAATTTAGAGATCATGCATTCCAGACAAATGTATTTTCAGGCAACGTGGGCCATCCCTGATTTATCAAAACCCTGTATTTTAATTAGTTTATTAACAAATATTATCAAACTAAAATATTCAGCAACATATTTTGCAGGCCAGGTTTCACAGACAGTGCTTAGATTAAGCCAGGATTAGGACATAGTTCAATTAGGACATTCAAGTAATTTTTATAAACCTGCCTTACAAAAAACAACAAACAACAAAAAACATTACTGGTGTGCATCTTGAGACAAAACAAGGGCACTGACATATTTTAAGATCAATCAGTGCAAGTTTCTTTCAGTTGAAACAGCTCAGACTTACATTTTAGTCTGGGACTAGGCTTAAGCCTTAATTGTCTGTAAAACCGGGGGATAGACTAGGTTATGAGTCAAATTCATAGTTCACTCAATTCATGTGTAAAATTCAAAACATCTGATAGAATATGTTGTCTTGACATTTGAGACAACATTGACTTGTCCTCATTTGAGGTGTAGCCACAATCCCCAGTGTCATGTTACATCAGCCAAAACTATTGTATTTATTATTCATTTAAAGAAATAGTGTCCTTTTAATTAAAGACCATTGTTATGCTCTGAAAGTGAAAACTGCACTGAGCACAGTACAAAGAAGCTTAAAGACCCACTTTACCTGAATTCACCTTATGTTGTTTTTTTTGTTTAGTTTTTCCAGCAGGTGGCAGAATGGTGGCATGTCCTCACATGATTTCACATCAGTGAAACTATGGCAGAAGGATCGAGATTGAGGTCTCTGCAGAGCAAAAGTGGGAGTTTCTGAATGTGTGGGTGTTTTCAAACTGCAGGGTGTTTCTCAATCATGCAATCAAAATGATCCCCCTTACCTAACCCCACCCCTAAACCTACCGTCACTATGACGTCAGCCAATCAGGAAATATGGTCTAAAAACGCCCCGATCTGGTAACTCCCATTACTTTCCTGCAGAGACCTATACTTGGAAGGATCTGGCGTGACCAACGTGTCCTTTTTTGCACACCCTTTGTTATAGCTGTGTGGGAGGAATGTATTTTGCCTATTGCTTAAGTCAAACATTAGGGTGGAAACCTGAGTCACAAAATGTAAGTATAGTCTGACGTGGGAGCAACATTTTACCAATGAACCACTGAATAAAGGCAGACAATTAAAGAAGCATTGAAGCTTTTTTCCTCAAACCATGTACAGCATATAGTTGAGGATGCAAAGAATTTAATGACTTCAATAAAATACTAACAAGACAAGAGGCGATAAATGATAAATAAATGTTGTATGTCATAAATGTTTTTCATAAACTTTATATAGTATTTATAGTACTTTATATATATCACTGATATATATGTATAGCTATATATATATTGTGTTATTTTTATTAGTTTTTATTAATTAATTTGTTTTCGTTTTAATTTAGGTTTTAGTACTGTGTTTTTTGTTTTTACCATTTTAATTTTTGCTTAACAAATGTTTTTTTTTTTTCAAGGAATTTTTATTTTATTACAAATAACTTAATTTATTTCTAGATTTTTTATTTATTTAACTTTAGTTAACTATAGCAAATTGATTTTCAGTAAAAACTCAAATTCTTAATCATGCCTCCACATTAGATTTTTATTATGCCAGAAATTTGATTTGTATCATAAGGAGTTTCCTATTTCCTATTGTTGGCAGTATATTTCCATGGCAACACATCCTGCGCAGTGAGGTAACATGTGTCCCTCTGGTTAGGGTGCAGCAGACCAGTGTCAGTCACATTAACCCCTGGGTAAACACATGTTATACCGTTTTGACGCAAACACCCAGTAGTGCAGTGCGTGCAGGTCAAGCAAAATGGCTTTGACATGGATCTCACTGAAGAACAATGAAAAAGAGGAGAGAGTAGAGCAAAGGAATTAGTATGATTCATCATCCGTTACTAACTTTAGGTTCATGAAGCCACACCTCCATCCACGACTGATTGACAGCTGATATTCTGTCTGTGGATAAAAACTGTGCAGATAAAAGATTACGCTTCATTTACCATCAGTACCACTCTGGAGACTCTATTACAGAAGCTCTTCAGCAAGAGAAATAGCATTCAGTGAATTTAAATCCCATTTCACTCTCTTCAGCATGAGGCACATTAGATTACATTATACCGGGGCTGCATTCTTCTTCCTGCTGTTCTCTGCAAGAGGTAAGTTGACTTTTGCATTTAATGAAACATCTTGAGGATTTCACAATAGAAATAACAAACTGTGGACAGACGGTTATGTTACAGTAACTCACTTTTTTCCTCATTTTATTCAGTGACTCCAAAATCAGCTAGATTGTAGTGAATATTAGTTTAATACTTAAGACATTCACATCTGTTCTATTTTTAAGTGATAAAAAATAGACTTCATTACTGTATTTGTGACAAACAGGTTGTACTCAATTAATAAAATCAATAAATAAAGAACAAAAATAGACTATCATCTATCTATCTATCTATCTATCTATCTATCTATCTATCTATCTATCTATCTATCTATCTATCTATCTATCTATGTATATATACAACACACACATTAGATGGTTACTCACATTGCAATTAATAATCATGTTATGTTTTAGGTGCTGAGCCCTACAGTCTTTTAAAAGTTCTCGAGAGACTCCAGGCAGCCCCTCAGAACTACCCTTCACCCCTGTACTCATTCTCCCTCTGCATGGAGATCAACAACCGCGTCTTCAGCGACACCCTCCTCAACACAAACTCACAGCAGTACCAGCACATGTATGCAGAGGTTGCTGGAGTTGTAAGTGTTTCTCGTGATTTATCAATGAATAAATGTCAGTGTCAGCTTTATTGACTAGAGCTGCCATTTTATACATAATAGCAACAACATATTCAGTACATGTAAGTTGTTGACCCTAAGAGAGATCCTGTGAGCATGATCTTGTTCACTCTTGGCAGCTGGACATTGCCTTTAACTGCTCTGACTGTGACACAAGAGAAACCTACAGAGGAGTGACAAACATACAGTTCAGGTAGATCATCTGATTCTTTTGCTAAAGGTGTTTGTCTGTTCGTCCTAAATGATTGTGAAATTAATAATAAATTGTGATAAAGAAGTGCGCTTGATTTGTACTTTAAGATAATATAAAAATAATGAAATGAAAATGCCACTGAAGTGTATCTAAAGAGAGATACTTTCATGACGGTCTCTTAACACTAAAAAGTGCACATTGCAATAATGTCTAATTAAAATTTTTACTTTAAAGTGCATTTGAAATCATTATGCTCGAATAATCTTGTTTTTGTGTTTGTGTGTTTTAAAGAAGTGCCCTTATTTTGATGTGTTGACTAACATACTAAAGCACATTTCAAGTACTTGATTATAGTTGTTTACTGTATTGTGATATTCAATATTACATAAGTTAATATATTTCAAATGTACCGAGTGTCAACTTCATCATTACAATTATGTAATTACAAATATATTTAAATACAAGTTTCAACATGACATTAAAGTACATTTTGGTTTATTGAAAATGCTTGTCAGTATATTTAGAATTACACTTTAATCAAATTTCAAAGACAACAGAAGTAATTATGAAATTACATATAAAGATGTAATGAGTTTTAAAAAGCACTCTAAAGTTCAGCGAATTGCTTTTGATATAAATAAGCTACAACACATTTTCATTTAATTGCAATTAAAATGCAGTAAAGCTTTAGAAAACATTATAAGTATATTCTTTTAAACTATGTTATTTCTGTAATAAGCACTTTGCTTAAAGGGATAGTACACCTTCAGTTGCTGGTCCCCATTGACTTGCATAGTGTTTTTTTTTTCATACTATGAAAGTCAATGGGGACCAGCAACTGAAGGTGTACTATCCCTTTAAGTGTACATCTTTTTCACAATGGTGATGTTACTGCACTAAATATTGCAATCAATTAAAATATCGTTTCTGCTTTGATTTCAGTAACGGGTCTGTGATCGCAAATTGTACCATCCAGTTCCAGACCATTTTTATCAACCATGTTGTGATCAAGCATTTGTTCCTGAGGGCTGTAGATAATAACACTCAGCTGAATGGTCTTGCAGTCAACAGACAGTACACTGCTGGTGAGTATTCATCATGCAGAATTGATCAGCTAGCTCCCATCTGATTCTTCAGTGTGAATTTGAATTATATTAGTCACACCCATATTCAACAAACACTAGTACAAACTTTCATTAGTCCGACATGTTTAGGTTTATATCTTGTAAGCCTGCTTCATGGCGTTTAAAAACCTAATTTTTATCATAAATTCATTCTTAAATGTCTACATATTTTTCATGCAGAAACAGTCAAACCTGCCTGGCTTTTTCCAAAATCCTCAACTCCGTTGGCAGAAACTAGTGTTCAGGGGCTATTATATTAGTCACACCCATATTCAACAAACACTAGTACAAACTTTCATTAGTCCGACATGTTTAGGTTTATATCTTGTAAGCCTGCTTCATGGCGTTTAAAAACCTAATTTTTTTATCATAAATTAATTATTAAATGTCTACATATTTTTCATGCAGAAACAGTCAAACCTGCCTGGCTTTTTCCAAAATCCTCAACTCCGTTGGCAGAAACTAGTGTTCAGGGGCTTCCTGGTTGGGCCATTGCATTGTTAGTGCTAGCATGCATCATCATCCTGCTTCTCCTCATCATCTTACTACTGGTAAATACTTCATACAATTACATTTTATAAACTCACAGGATTCACAAAGTAACGGCCAACAATGGCAATGCTATGATATTATATAATGTAATACTTCCTTTCCATCTCTCTAGATATGCTTTTGGTGCTGTAGGAGAAAAGCAAAAAAGGAAGAAACACAAACCGTAGCACCGTATGAAAGAACGTCTTTCAAAGAACATCTTGCCAATCCCACATATATGTCACACACACCTGAGAGGAGCCCCAACTACCGGAGCTTGGTAAGAACATGGCTGTAGTATAATTTCAACTAAAGATTTATTGAGAAATGCCACGATTCTAAAAAATACTTATTTCATTGCGAGTTAGATTATCAAACATAAATTAATGGACTCTGTTCACAGACTGTGATGATCCGTTTCCATAGTTATTAACAATGTAAATCTAGCAATGCTTTTTAAATGTAATGTACATTTATGATATTATACTTTTGGTTATATTACCTTGGCATTGCATTTCAAAAAAACTACCTAAAGGAGTAGTTCACACAAAAATGAAAATTTGCTGAAAATGTAGTCACCCTCAGGTCGTCCAAGATGTAGATGAGTTTGTTTCTTCATCTGAACAGATTTGTAAAAAAGTAGCATCACATCACTTGCTCACCAGTGAATCCTCTGCAGTGAATGGGTGCCGTCAGAATGAGAGTCCAAACAGCTGATAAAAACATCACAATAATCCACACCACTCCAGTCCATCAGTTAACATCTTGTGAATGGAAAAGCTGTGTGTTTGTAAGAAACAAATCCATCATTAAGATGTTTTTATCTTCAAACTGTTTCTAAAATATGAATCCTCTATCCATACTGCGTTCCCAAGTTAAAAAATCATGTTATCTGAATCTGGGGAGAAATATGCACAGATCAAGAACCGTTTACAAGCGAAAACAGTTGAAAAGAGTTCTAAACAAATATTTGGGTGGACTTTGATGTGAGAGGACAACAGGGGATGGACTTTTTTTCACTAGAAGATGCGCTATAGCTTTTTGCCAGAAGTGACAGTTTAAAGGTAGAAACGTCTTAATGATGGATTTGTTTTTTAAAAACATGCAGCTTTTCACTTACAAAGACTGGAGTAATTGATGGACTGGAGTGATGTGGATTACTTGTGGATTATTGTGATAATGGCCTTTCATTCTGACGGCACCCATTCACTGCAGAGGATCCATTGGTGAGCAAGTGATGTGATGCTACATTTATACAAATCTGTTCTGATAAAGACACAAACTATATCTTGGGTGGCCTAAGGGTAAGTATACGTTTAAAGCTACATTTTTATTTTTGGGTGAACAATTCCTTTAAGGCTGCTGTGTGAGTGGGAGAGATGCCAAATCGTTCTCTTTTCTGACCACCTTAATTAATATCTCTCTTTTTTTTTTCGTCTACAGTTTGAAATCTTGGAACTATAGCAAATGTTTTGAGCGATCAAATTATCAGAACATCTGTGTTTATTACACATGTGAAGTGTATTTTATGCCTTGATTGGTACAATATACAATAACTTAAGTGTTTAGATCTTATTAAATGAATGAAACTGTTGTTCATGTATTCATTATAACATAAGATGTTTGTCTAACGATTCTATTATTACAGCTGACTGACATGAGCTCTAATAAATAGTTTCTTCTACAGGGAGAACCGGAAGCACAACCTGGCAACCAATCCGGGATCTACATGAATCCTCAGAGATGAAAACCACAACAGCACTATAAGAGAGGTGGAAATAAACCCTTTATCAATAAAAACATCTACAGATAACTATTATAGGCATCCACAAGTTATACTTATGTTTATTATATAGGCATCTATATACATAATTCCTGCTTTTATCAACAAAACAAGAATTATTCTTATTATTTAAAATTACAATGTGATTAATTTTCTCAAGCTCGTCTCAGAAACCAAGGGACTAACAGGTTTGTTTATGATGGAGGCTCACAGCTAAAAGCGTAGTTGCGGATCTATTCAACATGAACAAAGAGACACCAACAGCACAATGCAGATTAAATACATAAACTGCGCTAGTTAACATCAGGTGAAGCCCTTCATTCAGTGAACTGTTTACCATCTTGACCATAATGCTTGCACAATATGGCAACACAAAGATGGGATTTAATGCTAGTAAATATATTTCATAAAGCTACCATTGAATTAGGATTAAACACAACAGTTCTTTTACACATGATTAATATGTTACTGCGCTGTCAAAAAATGAATAGAGATGATTTATAGCTATCACAGGGAAAGGCTTCATGCTGGTCAGATTGCTTTAATCTCTGTTTAAATAATGCAGTGATGAGTGGAAGCAATTATTTGAGGATATTTAAATTGTTTGAGATTATTTAGCTTTAATTAAAATAGTAATATTGATTATTCTTATTATTGAGTGCGACTGATTTATTCTTCAAATTGGTGCACAATAAATGAACAAATAAATTCAACTGAATGAGTCATACCCTGGTGCAAGTATAATAGACTGAAAGGTATTCAAAGTTCAGGGAGTGGTTAAAGCTATTCAAACTCACCCTTCACATGTCATTTACATTGCTGTATTTCAAACACATAGTTTATAATACAAGACCTGCTATGTACGTAGTGCTTCTCTGACAAATGTGAACACTAAACAGTGAAAACTGTAAAACATAGCATGTTGAAACTGCATGGTTGAAGGTTAAACACTGACAACTTTCAGAGAAATATTTCAGAAAAAGTGATATCGCATGTGTTGCAAACATACATATGCTGCTACTAATGTAAATAATATGGTCTTTGTTTCAGAGGCATGGAGTAACTGATGCTATGAAGAGTCGGGATGGTAAAGCGAAGATGCTGGTTTCTTCAGCAAGTTTATAAAATGTGGACTTGTCATCATTACCATGTGTAATATAAGTATTATACTCAACTGAATAGAAAACTATTTATGAAGCACAGATATGGGGATTTGGGTCTGTGATCTTTTGCATCTCTTACTCTATTTCAGTGTAAGACTGGGGCTAGTTGTCACACATAATACTCCACTAAATATTTACCAGCTTAGGTTTATTCTTAAGAGAGCCTTTGAACATTTGCACTGCTTCAAAAATCTTAACGTGTGCATGATAATAAGTGGCGTGTTTGTGAGATTTTAACAGTAAAGCACATATAAAACAAAATAATTTATAAAACAGTCACAAAAGTTAAACAATCAATACATATTAAATATGAAAACAATGTTTTGGCCAACAGGGATTGCAATGAATAAATTGTACCAACTAAATTATATGTAAAACATATGTGACAACTCCCTGTGTGACATCTTGCCCCGGTGTCTTTTACAGTATATCTTAGGCTACAGAAGGAGAGTAGATCTCTTAAATTTAAAGATTTTATGTTTGATACTATATGTGGGCGTTTGGTATGTCCAGACTACAAGATTATCAATTCATAAATGTCTTTTCATTTGGAATTTGCATTCAAGTTATTTGTATGGTCATTTATTTACACTTTCTGTGGGAAGTACTGCTGTATTCAATGCACAACACTTCAGCAAAACAATATATTATCATTACATTATAAATAAATAAAGTTCATACAGTACATGATGAAATGATGTTTTATTTATTTATGTTTCATTCTTTTTTTGAAATTCCAAATCTGCTCAAGTTAAACATTTAGTCTTAAATACAGTCTTCATACAGACGCTCAGATGTTCTTGATTTCGCCGTAGCACAAGATGCTCTGCGTTATCTTAAATCATGCTGGAGAACACGCTCATCAGGTTTTACACAAACGTGTGGAGTCCATGCAGCTCAAACGCTGTCATTATAGCATAAAAGGAACATAAGTCATTTCATTTTGCCATTTTAATATCAAATGTTGTCATTTCATCTGAATATCAACATTTATGAGATGTAGTCAGTCGAAACAGTTTTTAGGTTAATTGATCTAATTTTGTGTTTCTGGAAAAGTAGTGAACTGTGACGATGAATATCAATACTTTTTTTGTCTACTTGACACATTTGTGGACACATTAATGTTTTTAGAATTATGGATTAAAAATTACAGTTTTTATTCTGAAGTGAAAAGATCAAATTCAATTATTATTATTAGTATTATTATTATTCACTAATTCCATGAAGCATTGAGTAATAGAATTCTGACATCTTCACTTTTCGTTAAAACCTATAGTCTAATTGAGTGAAATCATTTAGTTTGCATTCAGTGTTACTAAATATTCATATGCCTGCATATGAGTCATAGAATAATTTTACCTTTCAGATGAATCTCTTTTACTGGGATTCTGCTTTGTCTGTCATTGGTTATTCAGTTATTCAACTAAACCGTCAAAATGTCATTTTAAATAGAATAGTTGATTTAGTATTTTACATTAATTACACTATATATATATATATATATATATATATATATATATATATATTCAGACCCCCTTAAATTTTTCACTCTTTGTTATTCAGTTATTCAACTAAACCGTCAAAATGTCATTTTAAATAGAATAGTTGATTTAGTATTTTACATTAATTACACTATATATATATATATATATATATGAATAAGAATGATAACAAAAATCATTCATACATTATGTAAAAGTTTAGCCAGTTGGGCTTCCTGACAGGGGGACAACTTACCCCAGTATGGGGTAAGATTAGTAATTTTACATATTGTGCAACAATGTTTCTATTTATTTCCCTTAATAACACATTGGCTGGTGCATCATCATCATCCTGCACATGCTAAAACCTATATAAGTTCAAATTTCCCTATATAGTTTTGTTGCATAACATGCTGTGGTTGTGCTTAAGAAACACGGTTACACACAGAAGTTCATGAAAGGTACGAGTCTACCTGAGAATTAGAAAGTTACAGAATTCATAATCCTGCTTAACTAAACACTTCACCTCCGACTGCTTATACTATACTTAATACTTATTGTTCAACACAAAACTTATTGTAAGAGTAAGTAATCATTTCAAAGTACATATAGATGATTAAAAATAATCAATACTCTAACCCAGACACTTACATCCTTCATGCTTCTCCCAACTATTCCACATTTGCTTCCACAATGGCAACATTCCTCTCAGATACATTTGAAATGTAATGGCAGAGAGTGTGTTTCCAGCACAGACATTTAGATACTTTAGGCATACTTTTGGGGCGATGGTATATATTATATATCATATAATATTCACACATTTGAAGTGGTTCACCAGCAAATAATGAACAAGTGTAATGTATAGAGCACGTGTAAAAGATCATTTAAACCTGGTTATCAGTGTGCTCTGAGTGATCATGCCAAAGCAGAAAGAAAACAACTGCAATGCCAGACATCTCTGCTTTCAATAGAATGTCAGTTGTTTCATTTACGGTGTATTTTATAACCAGTGTTTGTGTTTGATTTCTTGGCTGAAAGTCAGAGGTGCTGCACCTAATTCTATCTTTAGTAACAGTTTTGCGTCACAAGGTGGTCAAAAAAAGTAAAGTCATTATTTGTGGATTATTAATCAGAGAGGATTTGAACAGTCATATCTATAAACACTTTTGTGAGCATGGAGATTTTATACATTTCCGATTCACACTCTTGTGAAAAAGAAGTGTGCCTGATTTTATTAAAAATACATGTCAAATATTAAAAAGATATTTTAAAAAACGACATGCATATAATATTAATAAAATGAAGGGCCACTAAAGTGTACTTAAAGAAAGCTCACTTTTCATGACTGTTTCTTAACACACTTTTAAAAAGTGCACTTTGTAATAATGTCAAATTAAAAGTTTTACTTTACAGAACATTTTAAATCCTCATGTTTTAATAATCTTTTCGATAAAACATTAAAAGTTACTATATCTTGAAGGTACTAAATTGCAACTTCATTGCAAATGTGTGATTACAAATATTTTTGGATACATGATTTATCATAAATCCTTGTCAGTACATTCAGCAGTTCACTTTAACTACACAAGAGAATATTTCAGTACAGCCAGTGGGCCAAAAAAGCCCTCTAAAAAAAATGTTCAGCCAATTGCATTCAATATAAGTTTAAACTATTATATAATTTCATTTAATTGCAATTGACTCAAAAGTATGGTAAAGTGTATTTCTCTTTTTCACAAGGGCATATATATATAGCAATAGACAAATCACCAGCATGTGCTATGTTTGTTTGCACGTGTGCTTCAGGTTGCTTGCGTATGTTTTTAAAACAAGAATCCGTCTCTAAGTGATGAAGAACACAGATACAATCTGCTCACACTATAAGCATAAGCAATCAATGTGGCCATTTAATCAACACTAATGAGGAACCTCTGAGGAACTCATCTGGCTGGTCTTCCTTCTGTATATCTCAATGTTTGTTTTTGTTTTTTTGTTTTGTAACCTGAGCATTTGTGTAAAATGAATCCTGGCAACCATGAACTTGCTACACATTCTATAAGAAGAGACTGAATAATATATCAACATTTGAATATTAAAAACTGAGATTACATTACAACATTCAAATTTTAAATCAACAGTTCACCCAAAAATGAGTTTGCTGAAATTGCACATACCCTCAGGTTTGTTTCTTGAATTTGTTTCCTCATCTGAACAGATTTGGAGAAATGTAGCATTATATCACTTGCTCACCAGTGGGTTCTCTGCAGTGAATGGGTGCCGTCAGAATGAGAGTCCAAACAGCTGATAAAAACATCACGATAATTTAAACAGTTCTTATTGTGACATGCATTAAACAGCTGCATATTTTGTGCATAATTAACCAGCCTGTATCACCATTAAACATAGTCTTTAAAGTATGCATATGCATTATTAGTATTATGTAATAATAATGTAATAATTAGCATTATATAATCAACATGACAATGTTAACTTGCTAAAAAAGTATCAAAAAGTGTAAAATGAACAATAGAATAGAATAGACACCAGCATGAAAAACATAAATTTACTGCTACAAGGTTCATTTTATACACTAAAAATATCAAAATGTGAAATAAGAAGCAATAATCTCACATTGTTGGTGCATAAAAGTGGTTTAATAAGTCCATTCAGCACCTAAAATACACTGCACTTGAAACACCATGAGAATGTGCTCCAATGTCACACTAATTTCTTTGATCATCATCTAGTGGAAACTCATTACAGCATGCTTAAAATTCACAATTAAACAAGAGCTGGTGGAGTGAGCACTGCAGAAAATGTAGAGATGCTGTGTAAAAGAGGTACGAAAGTAAATAAACAGTAGTAATACAGAAGAGAAACAAAATGCTTTGGTTTGTTAGATCTGTAATAAACAATAGTTTCCTTGGATCACGACTGTTTTGTAACATTTGATGTCATATAATGAACTCAGAGACTCGAGAGATACTAAACATGACATTCCGTGAGTCTGGTGAGTGAGTAACTGTTAGCTGAACTATTAAGCTTTGTGAGACAATAAGCAAGCAAACAAAGGGCCAACGATGACGCATAAAAGCCCTATTCTAATAAAAGCTTTACTTTTATTAAAGCCATTGCTACTTGAAGAATACAGAATGATTATATGAAAGATGAAAACATGGTTTCTCAGACACAAAACCTCATCCTGCACCAAATGGATTTTCTAGAGTACTAGCACCAATGACATTAAATCAGGCATTTACATAATGTCTACAGGGAACTCATGCCACTGTTTGATATTAACAGTGGAGAACACCGGAGGTAAAAGGGCAAGCCCAACTTGGATGTATATTATTGTTAAGATATTGTTACTATTTTTCATTCTCTTGTGAGCATAGAGGTTGAATATAGACATTATGTCATCAGATTTACCAGATTACGAACACTCAAGAGGCAAAATGAACTGGGGGAATATTTTACAATATGTAACATATATTAACATATCATACAGAGCTTTTTTGTTAGTAGGTTAGCTCGATGGAAGTATTTATTATTGCAGATCAGTGGTGAGTGCCATTTCTCAATTAACATGATATTACCTGCAATATAGTTTGCTGTAGTTGTAGATGACAGCTGACAATGATTTAAAGCTGGTATGATATACAGTCTACATCTAAAATTAGCTTCCTGCAAACCAAATACCTGATCATGATGTATTGCATTATGTGGATCCACCTGTGCATGCTTGCATTGTTTACATACATTTTTCCCTTCGAGACATGCCACTTTTTTTTTCCCTTGGAGCTTTGATTACATTTACACCAATCATGCAATGATCTTTCTGTATTTGTTAATGTTATTTTTCATCATCTAGTACTTCATTCTGAAAGACACTGCAAAAACTGCAGTGTTTGCAAGGCAGCCAAAGAACTGTCAAGCTTCCCACGCTCTTTGATCAATACATTTCATTGATTTTCCAGTTGTATCTCTCAAGGAATTTGAAAAAAGTCATTTTATAGAAATTGCACCTAGTATATTTCTAGCTAATTAAATATTCTATATCGGTGCATAATTAGAAAAATAATCTATATTCACTCTTTTCCATGACTTTTCCAGACATGGACCATTGCAGTTGGTCTGTGGGAACCCCAAATAGTGTAAATGTTAAGTAAAATTTAATTCACACAGAACCAAATCCTAAAACCTAAACATAGGTTTGATTCAGTGCAAATGAAATGCTGCATAAGAATTTTGCCATTGCAAGAATCACCATACACAGCACAGTTTATGCTCTGAATGATTAAATATATGCAAGGAAGAATGCAAGCATGCACCAATAACAATTTATAATGCAAACAGATGCAAGAAAAAAGACCAATCACCATTCAGTATGCAAATATCATGATGACATCTCTGCTGCCAATCACTTTTTGAGTGATTCTATCATGGCATCAAAGGGAAATTATCTTATTTTTTAAAGGATGAAAGTTAACAATAACAGCTAAAACAAGGAAGGTGAAATCAGTGGTTCGGGCTAAATTAATTGCAGAGGTTTAATATATAGTGGTAAGGTTTGACCCTGAATATTTGAGGAATATCAGTCTTTGCTGCTTTGGAAACACTGTAAGTACATCAGCTGACAGGCATGAAGGAGCTCTGCAGTCTTTTATAGCAGGTAATACAATGTTAAAGCAATAGTTCACACCAAAATGAAAATTCACTCTCATGTCTTCTGAAACCCACAACTTTTAAAAATGTTTATTTCTTATGTGGAATGCAAAAGGGCAAAATAATAGTAGGGTGTCTCAATTGCTCTTTTAGTAAACATGAACAGAGATCACAGTAGTCAAGCAATATTTTAACGGATGACATAAATATACGACTTCAGACTTGGAATATAGTGCACAAGTTATATGAACCATTCATGTTTTTGCTTTTATGGTGATTTTTTGGTCCCCATCCATTTTCAGTGTACTAAAGAAAGTCAGATTTGAAACAACATGAGTAAATTAATTTCTATTTTTGGTTGAACCATCCCTTTAAGTATAATGATAATGGCCTATATCATAAAGCCCTATCATGTTGATTTCATACATCACTAAAATACAAAACCCTTGCTGCTAAAGCCTCACTCATCTCTAACGCTCCTCTACTACAATATACATACAGATCACATGAGCACGAAGCGTCAAACGTCTGTTAAAGAGTCAATGGGGGCCACTTGAGGTTCAGTGGGAGGGCTGGGCATTTCTTCTATCGGCTCAGATCTGGGTTCAGGCTCACGCTCAGGCATTGGCTCCACCTCTGAGACCATCACCTCCACCTGTAAAGAAACAGACGTTTGATTGGCTGACAGATTCAAGCCAAGAGTTAAAGATGAGAAAGCAATGGATTGGCTCTAGCTCTAGCTTTACATTAGATGTTTTCCAAAACCAAGAAAGCTTGAATCTCAACAGAAATCTCATAGGTTAACAACACAGGTGCTCTTGGTGTACCTGAGGTTGGCTAGGGGTGATCACCTCAGGCTGAGATGGGTCAGCACGCTGTCTGAAACCAAGAAGCTGTGGAAAACATAGGGTCTGTCGCTGTATTATATTATATTAGTTCATTATGGAAAGGAAAATTCTGAGGAGGAAATATCAAAATACAAATAAAGAATATTTCTGAAAAGAATCACAATTATAGAAGTTCACCAAAGTATCTGCTATAGTAATTATCATGTATTAAACACCATGCAGGGTCGGAAATTAACAAAGGCTTGGGGCAAAAATTCCACCAAAATGAACAAAAATGCCCCATAAATTTAAGAAAAAGGGGTAAATGTCTCTTCACAATTAAACTAAATCTTACGACTGCCGTGATTAAAGAATGCAAAATTACACTTTTTTTTGATTGCATCAAATATTTCTTTTTACATATTTTTTTTCTGCATCATTATATCCAATCACAGACATTTCTTTTCATTCATTATAACTAGAGGTTTAGCATGAGTGATTACATCTTTGCTCGCTTTCTGTATACAATTTATTCCCCATTTCAAAAACTATATTGTTTTTCATTTTACTGGGATAGCAAATGTGAAGTCTTGACTTTCTAATGTGTAAAAAACAATCAACTAATTCATAATGAATTTTATTAATCAACATTAATAATCATTTTAACAATATCAACAATATCAAATTTTGCAGCCTGTACCCTGTAATGAGTTCCGCTTTTTTTTTTTTTAGAACTGACATACTTTATGTAGGCTATTTAAAACCATAATTATCCTCATATCATTATGCAATTGTTGTGTAAATACACAACCTTTAAGTAGCATTAAACAGTGTAAAAAGACAAATGCATGTCAGACGCAGCTTCTGTTCCACCTTTGCAGTGTAAAGATGGCTTTTGTTGATGATGATACAATTTTATTGATAACAGTCAACAGTATTCTGATTGACTGAATGAATTGATTCAATTTAAGTATTTGACATAAAAGAGAACACAGATTTAATAAGGTAATCATAAAAAAAATGCACTTAGAAAAGTAAAATATTGCCCCTTGGAAAAGTTCATTTCTGTCCCTGCCATACAATCTCCAAAATCAACACACTCTCTCAGTCCTTCTATTTTATTGCGCATGTGTTTAACTGACCTGCACGCCGCCTTTAGCCAGAGCATTTAGTCCAAACAAAATGGTTACAATGCAGATCGCCAACTCCACCACCAGAAACAGAACCAGTGTGGCCAAGAAGCCATCAATCAAGAGCTGAGAGCATCCGAAAGAGAAAAACAAAGAAATAAAATAATAACCACAGCCATCGAAGCTCATGTCCACATGTTTGTAAGTTGCCAAAGAGATTTACTCTTTGAAGCACACTAGTAAAGCAGATATTATTAAAATATATATTAATAAAAAGATTAGCAAGAGTGACCATCTGAATTTTCATAGCACAACTGCAAACAATTTTAAGTATCTTTCATTCTGAAGCATTTTCAGACAACTGGACCAAAGTGCAAAACTGACAACACATTACCCTGCTACCACATGCATTCACTCTCCTACAAATATACACAAAGCTACTGGTAATTTTTGATAAATATAATAAAAATAAGCAGCTCCTGAACTGTAGGGTGAATTCAGGCAAACTGGACCACTTTCTGAGATGCTGTCACATTGGTGACCCAGTTTACCTGAATGAACATGCTATGCTTTGTGCGTGAATTGCCACAACATTTTTGTCACCTTAAGAAACAACGATAGCTTTTTTAAGGAAAATGTTACTTTCAATTTATCTGTTTTTCTTTCTTGCATTATCAGCATATAATTAAGCACATTCATGTAAACAAAGGCAAACATAAGGGTAAGAATTACTTACTTTACAATTTCTCTCGACTGTATAACTGCACTTCCTGTAACAATATTGTTGCTTTGGAAAAGCAGACACAAAAGACAAAATCATGTTGAATTTTGTAAATGTAGCTATAAAGCTATACAAATGTATGCACACCCATTTAGCCAATTTAGAAAAACTGTTACAGTTTTTTGGCTTTCTTAACAAACTACAGTGCCCTCAGAAAGGTTTTGGACTTCTGAGATTGGGACAAACCCCACAGGACATAGACATAACTGGACTGCTATTATAAAAGATGTTTCTGAATTAAACTATTCCCTTTTTTTTCCAGATACCTTTTGAGTTTTTGGTTGGTGTCTCTAGACTAAGGGCCAGATTTACTAAACAGGGCAAATTAGCATGAGAGTGCAATCCGCACAATGCGCACATTAAAGAACACAGACGCAACTTCTCATTTCCATAATGACCAACGCAATCTACTAATCTTAGTGTAGGGTAGCAAACAAGCAGAGCCAGTGATAATCAGGTGCGTATAATCTAGTAATATAGCTGCACAATGGGTTAATATATGCTGTTTTTGGAAATACCAGTAAACTGACTAGCGCAAACCTTACTAAATCACCTTGCATGATTCAATTAAATGCTCTCCTCCCTTACATTTTGCATCTGAAAGGGAAACTCCTACAAATGCATATGCAATAAGGTCAGGTGCAAAAATGCCCTGTTCATGCCTTTGCATTGCTAATCATTTACTGCGTTTTTAATGTTTTTAATGCCAAAAGAGGGTTAGTGCTGGTGCAAGCTGTTAGTAAATCTTGCCCAAAGAGTGTTAATGTAAACTTATAAACATGAGCAGCCTCTCAGTCAAAAATTGACAGTACCAAAAAAAAAAAAACCCATTAAAAAATGTAATAAAAATTAAACACGACCAAAGAAATAACCTCGAACAAAGAAAACAGCCATATTCCAATATCCTAATACCCCATTTTACAATTTTATATTTTTGCTCTTAAAGGGATAGTTCACCCAAAAATGAAAATTTGATGTTTATCTGCTTACCCCCAGGGCATCCAAGATGTAGGTGACTTTGTTTCTTCAGTAGAACACAAACAAAGATTTTTAACTCAAATCGTTGCAGTCTGTCAGTCATATAATGGAAGTGAATGGGAATCATGGCTTTGAGAGTCATAAAACATACACAAACAAAACCAAATTAAACCCTGCGGCTCGTAACGATACATTGATGTGTAAAGACACGAAACGATCGGTCTGTGCAAGAAACTGAACTGTATTTATATCGTTTTTTTACCTCTGATTTACACCGCAATGTCTGAACTGTCCTGAGCGCGTTCGCGTCTTCTTCTTCAGCCTGGCGTGAGTCGTCTTCTTCATGCTTTACGGTGGATCGCAGACTTATAAGTGCATTACCGCCACCTATCTCTCATGGGTGAACTATCCCTTTAAGGCCATTATGGAAATTCTTTGCATTTTCCATTTTAGATCTAAAATATGTTGTGCGTAAAACCGCTTCACTTTACTGTCCAAATACCTTGAGGGCACTGATTTTATTCATTTTCTCCTTCATTGGAAAAAAGTCTGTACCAAGTGCAAAGGGTCAGTATCCTTATGGTTATTACTCTATTCTGTTATAAATATATAAAATTTACATTACAAAGCAGTAACAAATAAATAGGAGAGATGTGAAACTATCATCGTAATTATGCCAACAGCTCATATCTATCTATATATCTCAACAATTAAACATTATGATAAACCAATTACGATACATTTTCAATTTCCAATCAAATTGCTTAAATTGCTTTCCAATTTAAAGCAATTTAATAAAGTATAAGTTGCATTTACACAATCCCACATCAAATCAGAAGTCAGTACCCCAAGTAACAACATTACCTGTCTTTTTTTCACTTTATATTTCATTCAAAAGCTTTATATTTATTCCAACATAATCCTTCAATTCATTACGCTCTTACCCTGGCTAAAAAAAAAATTAAACAGAAGGTCTAATCATATGCTATGTATAATTTTAATGTAAGGTTTAAGCAAACCAAAATTATACTATTAAAAAAACAAACTTCCAACTTTGAAAGCACTAATTTGACTATGTAAAAAAAAAAAAAGAGACAAACAGGTCTTTAACTCTACTGAAGATTCACAAAAAATCTTCAACCATATGAAGTATATGAACCTGGCTTTTTGACAGACACACATTGAAGATGCTTTGTTTTGCACTTCGGTACAGTCCTTTGAAAAGGCATCAAGGGAATTGCTTAAAGAAAAAACTGTAACAAGAAAGTTGATGTGGCCAGTTCAACACATCATACCCACTTTACAGTGTTTTATCCTTCCCACTGCACCCAAAACTCACCCGCATGCATTCATCATCAACATACTGTATATATACAGATCTAGAGGTCTATATATATATATATATATATATATATATGTGTGTGTGTGTGTGTGTGTGTGCGCAGAAATAGGCAAACCCATCTTCCCATAATGCAAGGCACTCAGCAGCAGAGAGTAGCAGATGTGTGAGCTCACCACAGCATAGATCTCCAGTCTCCTGCAGTGCTCACAGTGGTACGTGTCCTGACGGTAAGGCAGGTGACGGGACAGCAGCCCAAGAACAGCAGTGGAAAACGCTGCACTGACCAGGTGAGCAACCAGTGTGGCTTTCACCTTCACATGATGGGACAGAAGTTACTGTACAGCTCATTTACTGTAATTTGATAAAACACTGAAAAATGAAAGGCATTTTCATTTCATGCAGTACTGAAAAAATACTGAAATACAATACCAGTCAACAGTTTGGATGCACATATTTCTGTAGGATGATTATTTGACACATTTTAAGAGTCATCAAACTATGAAATAACACAAATGGAAGTATGTGAATTATGTAGGGGCCAGATCAAAACTCCCCTGTAAACTCTCGCTTCTTCTTTGTATAGATTGAAGCTTGACAAATTTCAATTAGTTCACATGTGTGATGGATATGTAATTATGTAATTGTTGGCTCCAAAACCAAACACCTCCTCTGCCAACCTCCACCAGAACTGCTGAGACCATCACATCTTTCAAAAAGCAGATGAAGACACACCTCTTCTGCAAGCACTTAACTACCACACTTAAACACACTCTTCAACTAATGCACTTACGTACTTCCTAATCTAGTTGTCTTCTTTCAATCCTTTATGCATAAGCATTCACTATCTGCTCCAAAACCAAAAGAAACAACACAACACACACACAAAACAAAACAAACAACTTTTAAGAAAATCAAAAACAGGCACTATTTATATTTTTCTAACATTTATGCATAAACATTAAGCATTCACTATCTGCTCCAAATCCAAATGAAATAAAACCAAACCAAACACAAAGCATAACTCTTTAACACAACTTTTAAGAAAATCATAAATGGGCACAACTACAGAACTAATTTTTATCGATTATGCATACGCATTAAACATTCACAATCTGCTCCAAAACAAAACAAAAAACAAAACAAAACAAAACAAAAAACAGCTTTTAAGAAAATTGTAAACAGGCTGACTAGTAGTGAGGGTTCAGGGTCGGTAGGTGAGTAGGGCAGTAGTTTCATTGATTCTGCAAACCTTGAACTTGTACTCACCCAGAACAGAGATGGGAACCTTCCAGCGTGGATTAAAATGGATCCAGACACAAGCAACTGATAACAGGAGAATTACTGAAGTTTGCAACATCCTTAATGACAACTGGATTCATAATAGATTAAACACTCTGCTTTAAGGTCCATTAGCAAATTCAACTTACCTGAACGACGATCACTACCACGACAATGACATCAGGAGAGAAGTGAACCTCTTCATAGAGCTGAAGAATGGTGATGCTCAGACACAAGCACAAGACAGCGATAATGATCTGAATGGACTGAACCAACAGAACAACCAGCTCAATGAACTTGATATGCTGCCAAAAAGGCCATTTCAATGGTTTTATAACAGAAAATTTGATGTTAAAGATTCAGTTATGAGGTTTATTTTTTGACACTGTGGATAACTTCAGACTTTTCAAAATGAAATTATTGCAAAGCCATTCTGTGCAGTAAACTTCATGCTTTCATATTGTACAAGATGTTCAACAAAGTGGCTTTGGTGAAATAACTTGACATCTGGTATATGGAAGATATTCCTGTGCATGTTTCCCTGGATTTGGTGTGAGATTTGTTGCAGGGAATGTGACACTTACCCCCAGTGCTTTCGGCTCCACCTTCTGAAATGTCTTGACCTGCTTTGGCGTCAGGTTTCCTGCAGGGCGCGTGGGGCCCTGACTCTCAATGCCCATGCTGAGGTCAGTCAGTTTGAAGCCTGGCTATGCTAATATCAGAGAATTAGTTTGAGACAAGAAGTGTAAGAATAGCTGGTTACGAGGAAGAAAACAGAACTGAATAGTGAAACAGAGAGAGATTAGAATGAGGACAGTGCAGGACAGAATGGAAAAATATGGATGACTGAACATTAAATCATATTTACCCTCAAAAAGGTCATGCTCATGGTGTCATTTGTGCCTGATAGTCCATTAAAAGGTTACTGCTTTCGATAAATTATATTTTCCATCCTATGTTAGGCCCAAAGGTCCAGGGATACCGTGATCAAATTAGATAAATGCTTTTCAATGGACTATTCTTGAACTCATAACCTGCAATCTCAAATATGTGGTTACTGACTTGTAAAGCGGCAATGGTTATTTACCCTAAACTGAAGTGAACACAAAAACTATAGCAACCATCATCATATTACATCATTATTTAGTCAATACTCTTGTGCTTAAAAGAGAATTAACTTTCAGAAATATTACAGATTTGACTGCACTGACACAACTGGATGAGAACTGAGCTGAAATGGATAATGACACTATTGTCTTCAGTAGAGCTGCCATTGCAGTCGTTTCATTAATAGGGAAATTACTGAATAGAACTGAATCATGGTTAAAGTCAATTGATCTGAATAATGACACTATTGTCTTCTTTAGAGCTGCTTTATAGCTGGATAGAATTTGTTTTGTAATTTGATAAACTGTAACATTGACACTGCCACTGAACTGAATCGAATCACTTAACTGACTTGACCTAATAATGGTAATTATCTTCTGTAGAGCTGATTTACAGCTAAAAGTGAAGTCGTTTTATAATTGTTAAAACTTTACAGTGCTACTAATTTTCTCTTTATTCCTGTGGAGCTGTTTTGAAACATTCTGTATTGTATAAAGCGCTATATAAATAAATGTGATGATTCAAATCATCTTTGTGTCAACCAGTGTGGCTTTCACCTTCACATGATGGGACAGAAGTTACTGTACAGCTCATTTACTGTAATTTGATAAAACACTGAAAAATGAAAGGCATTTTCATTTCATGCAGTACTGAAAAAATACTGAAATACAATACCAGTCAACAGTTTGGATGCACATATTTCTGTAGGATGATTATTTGACACATTTTAAGAGTCATCAAACTATGAAATAACACAAATGGAAGTATGTGAATTATGTAGGGGCCAGATCAAAACTCCCCTGTAAACTCTCGCTTCTTCTTTGTATAGATTGAAGCTTGACAAATTTCAATTAGTTCACATGTGTGATGGATATGTAATTATGTAATTGTTGGCTCCAAAACCAAACACCTCCTCTGCCAACCTCCACCAGAACTGCTGAGACCATCACATCTTTCAAAAAGCAGATGAAGACACACCTCTTCTGCAAGCACTTAACTACCACACTTAAACACACTCTTCAACTAATGCACTTACGTACTTCCTAATCTAGTTGTCTTCTTTCAATCCTTTATGCATAAGCATTCACTATCTGCTCCAAAACCAAAAGAAACAACACAACACACACACAAAACAAAACAAACAACTTTTAAGAAAATCAAAAACAGGCACTATTTATATTTTTCTAACATTTATGCATAAACATTAAGCATTCACTATCTGCTCCAAATCCAAATGAAATAAAACCAAACCAAACACAAAGCATAACTCTTTAACACAACTTTTAAGAAAATCATAAATGGGCACAACTACAGAACTAATTTTTATCGATTATGCATACGCATTAAACATTCACAATCTGCTCCAAAACAAAACAAAAAACAAAACAAAACAAAACAAAAAACAGCTTTTAAGAAAATTGTAAACAGGCTGACTAGTAGTGAGGGTTCAGGGTCGGTAGGTGAGTAGGGCAGTAGTTTCATTGATTCTGCAAACCTTGAACTTGTACTCACCCAGAACAGAGATGGGAACCTTCCAGCGTGGATTAAAATGGATCCAGACACAAGCAACTGATAACAGGAGAATTACTGAAGTTTGCAACATCCTTAATGACAACTGGATTCATAATAGATTAAACACTCTGCTTTAAGGTCCATTAGCAAATTCAACTTACCTGAACGACGATCACTACCACGACAATGACATCAGGAGAGAAGTGAACCTCTTCATAGAGCTGAAGAATGGTGATGCTCAGACACAAGCACAAGACAGCGATAATGATCTGAATGGACTGAACCAACAGAACAACCAGCTCAATGAACTTGATATGCTGCCAAAAAGGCCATTTCAATGGTTTTATAACAGAAAATTTGATGTTAAAGATTCAGTTATGAGGTTTATTTTTTGACACTGTGGATAACTTCAGACTTTTCAAAATGAAATTATTGCAAAGCCATTCTGTGCAGTAAACTTCATGCTTTCATATTGTACAAGATGTTCAACAAAGTGGCTTTGGTGAAATAACTTGACATCTGGTATATGGAAGATATTCCTGTGCATGTTTCCCTGGATTTGGTGTGAGATTTGTTGCAGGGAATGTGACACTTACCCCCAGTGCTTTCGGCTCCACCTTCTGAAATGTCTTGACCTGCTTTGGCGTCAGGTTTCCTGCAGGGCGCGTGGGGCCCTGACTCTCAATGCCCATGCTGAGGTCAGTCAGTTTGAAGCCTGGCTATGCTAATATCAGAGAATTAGTTTGAGACAAGAAGTGTAAGAATAGCTGGTTACGAGGAAGAAAACAGAACTGAATAGTGAAACAGAGAGAGATTAGAATGAGGACAGTGCAGGACAGAATGGAAAAATATGGATGACTGAACATTAAATCATATTTACCCTCAAAAAGGTCATGCTCATGGTGTCATTTGTGCCTGATAGTCCATTAAAAGGTTACTGCTTTCGATAAATTATATTTTCCATCCTATGTTAGGCCCAAAGGTCCAGGGATACCGTGATCAAATTAGATAAATGCTTTTCAATGGACTATTCTTGAACTCATAACCTGCAATCTCAAATATGTGGTTACTGACTTGTAAAGCGGCAATGGTTATTTACCCTAAACTGAAGTGAACACAAAAACTATAGCAACCATCATCATATTACATCATTATTTAGTCAATACTCTTGTGCTTAAAAGAGAATTAACTTTCAGAAATATTACAGATTTGACTGCACTGACACAACTGGATGAGAACTGAGCTGAAATGGATAATGACACTATTGTCTTCAGTAGAGCTGCCATTGCAGTCGTTTCATTAATAGGGAAATTACTGAATAGAACTGAATCATGGTTAAAGTCAATTGATCTGAATAATGACACTATTGTCTTCTTTAGAGCTGCTTTATAGCTGGATAGAATTTGTTTTGTAATTTGATAAACTGTAACATTGACACTGCCACTGAACTGAATCGAATCACTTAACTGACTTGACCTAATAATGGTAATTATCTTCTGTAGAGCTGATTTACAGCTAAAAGTGAAGTCGTTTTATAATTGTTAAAACTTTACAGTGCTACTAATTTTCTCTTTATTCCTGTGGAGCTGTTTTGAAACATTCTGTATTGTATAAAGCGCTATATAAATAAATGTGATGATTCAAATCATCTTTGTGTTATTTTCATGTCAATAAAAACTCAATTTAGTTCGAATTCCATTTTCTATAACCCATATAATAGTGACCAACGGGACCTGCAAATTGGTTCATATTCAGAATTTTTACATCTTTGTTCAAAATAACATAACACTGTCAATATGAGATCACTGTAGAAATAACTAGGCTTTAGTTTACAGCATTATATATACAGTACTTGACTCTGCCACTATTCCATTATGAAACTCTTTGACTTGAATGGGGCAAAATAAGCTTTAAACTATAAAAGGTGGACTATTAAAGAGACAGTTCACCCAAAAACGAATATTCTGTCATCATTTAATCACGTTCATATTTTTATAAACCTGAGGAGATATTTTGAGGAATGTTAGTAACCGAACAGTTTTGGTTTCCATTGAGTTCCATCATATTTTTTGTCAATACAATGGAAGTCAATGGGAACTCAAATTTGGTTACCAACATTCCTCAAAATATCTTCTTTTGTGTTCTGAAGAAAAACGATTTTGAAAGACACGAGGATGAGTAAATGATGATAGAATGTTAATTTATAGGTGGACTATCCCTTTAACATTTTGTAGAGATGTAGCTACCAAAAGACGATTTTTGACAACAACAAAAAAGGACAAATCTAATCTGACATGAAAGATGGTCTTTAATGGAAACCAGCCATATATGCATCCCTCTGAACCCTCTCTGAAGAGTGTCTAGACGCCTTTTCAAATAGGAGAGCCTCTCTGAGGAATCAGATAAAGCCCCCAAGTTACAAAAACTGGTTACTCTATGAACCCAGTCATATGGAGAGGTTTTTAGACACTTGATATATTGGTTAATTTATGATTTTTAATGCAACTACAAAAGAGCTCTATAAAGATCTCTAGAGCGGTTCGCAAGTGTGTCAGTCTGAGGAACCCCAAATGTTGCTTCCAGTATCTACTGCATACAGTATTATATATTTCACCAATACTAGACCACTTCAAATCTGTAGAATGATTCTAACATTTTAAGAGCGCACCTTTACACGTTTCGGAGTCTTTGCATGCAGTTTTTATCATATGCAGGTATTTCATATTTCACATGTTCAACTGATGTGATATTAAACGGGTTTCTTGGCCTTGAAGGCAAGAGGAGCAGCCAAAAATAGACGTAAGGCAAAACGTGCAGCTTCATCATCCCCTCACATCCGCAGTGTCCCGCACTATGACAACGTGCAACTTTATTTCGGAGCATAACTGCGCCACGAATACCGCTCAACGCGACTCACCACAGTGCTGTTCTGTCTAACTGATCCCCGAATCCTAAAGACGTGCAACCTTCAGCGGTCATAGGTGGGGCCGCGCGCGTGTGCGTCCTGTCCCAAATCGAGATTCCTTCAAACACACGTGTGATGCGTCACTTACCTCTGCGGCTCAAGGAAAACGCTTTGATTCTGCTTTTCTTTTTTTAAAGGCGAAAAAGTGCAGTATTCAGTTATTCCATCCGCGTTGCGGTTGAAGGGAAACAACTAGTTAAGTCTCATCAGGGTGTGTGACGCGCGGCTGACGCGCAGTACCGCAGTGAGGAGGCAGTGGACGCGTTGCGCTGCGCTGCGTCGGTCTGGATGCAGACAGTGATGCATCAACTTCCATCACATTACAACGCTCCTGTTAACAAGCAACCAAGCGCAGGCTACATGGAAACGTTTGTCGGGTCACCTAGCTTCCATTTTTATTATGTTATTTATTTATTTTTTCTTCCATTTTGAATATCAGCAGCACAAGTGTGATTTTTCATTCAGAACAGCAGTTACAGTTCAATAAACAATACCTAGTAGATTACATTTCAGACAAAAATAAGTTTGTATTTCTTTTCTGCTAATTGATTTTATAGTCTGTACACTTTCAATGAGAGGCTACAAACTATTATTCCGAGCACAAGTTAATTTACACTGCTAGTCAAATGTTCGGAATGATTAAGATTTTACTTAATGTTTGTAGGAAGTCTCTTATAAGGCAGCAGTTAATTGATCAAAAGTAAAATAGTAATATTGTTAAATATTATTACAATTTAAAATAGTTTTATATTCTAATACATTTTAAGATGTAATTTATTCTTGTGATCAAAGCTGGATTTTCAGCATCATTACTCCAGTCTTCAGTGTCACATGATCTTCAGAAATAAGTATAATATGCTGAGAAACATTTCTGATTATTATCAATGTTGAAAACAGTTGTGCTGCTCCATATTTTAGTGGAAAGGTTCAGGATTGTTTGATGAATAGAAAGTTAACTGAACAGCATTTTATTGAAATAGAAATCGTTTGCAACATTAGAAATGTGTTTACGGTCACTTTTGATTAATGTGTCCTTGCTGATTACAAGTTTTAATTTCTTTCTTTTTTTTTAGTGCTACACTGCCATTCATAAGTTTTGAGTGAGATAAAAATAAATAAATTTTAACTTGTATTCAGCATGGACACATTAATCAAAAGTGACTGAGTAAAAAGAATAATAATATTGCAAAAGTTCAGTGAACTTTCGATTCATCAAAGAATCCTGAACCTTACCACAAAAATATTACGCAGAAAAAACTGCTCAACATTAATAATAATAAGAAACATTATTAAGCATCAATAATATTTAAGCAGCAAATCTGCATATTATACTGATTTCTGAAGGATCATGTGACACTGAAGACTGGAGGAATGATGCTGAAAATCCAGCTTTGATCACAAATTTTTTCTTTTGTCATTTGCTGCCACCTAGTGGAAAAAAAATTTAATAAACTTTTCAAACACTTTAAATCTGTATCTTTTATTTTCAAAACATTATAAAAAATAAAGAATCTTTCAAAAATAGTGGCGTGCAGGAGAATGCATCTAGTCCTGTGACAGGCTTCACATATTGGGCTTCGATTGGACTCGGTTATCCAGCTAAAGACAAACAGAAACATAGAACTGCTCTTTGAACCACTAGACAGAACATGTTCTCTGTCACTTGATTATAAAACACACATTTGGCAATATCACAATTTACAAGTGATTTCCCCAGAATGAAGACTTCAAATCCGTACCGTTCGGTGACAAACCACAGGTTGGGTTCAGGTCACTCCAAATATATTGGAATAGCTACAATCAGGCCCAATATATTGATTGCTGTGCAAAGGCAAAATACGACAACTACCCACTTTTTTCCCCCAAAAAATCCTTTGAAGCCATTTTCTCAGTTCCAGTGTTGAAGCAGTTCCTGTGTTTTGCCGTTAGGGCAGAGTGAAGTGGTCAATATTGAACGAAGTAAGCAGTCTAAGATCTATAACAGGTCGAACGTACCAAAATAACACTTCTGAATATGATTTTTATATTGAGATATTCTTATGTTGACATAGAAATGTCAGCCCGTACTTGCACATTTACTGATCACCACAATTTTTATATGCGTTACACAAAATACTTATTTAAATTAAACCACTTGAAAAGCATCTTTGAAAGCTTTTTTTTCATTGGTGCAACATTAAAGGGACAATTCACCCAAAAATGAAAATTCTGACATTTACTCGCCCTCATGTCGTTCCAAAACCTGTATGAGTTTCTCCAAATTTTGAAAAATGCAGTTAACCAAACCGTTTCTATTCCCATTGACTTCCATTACAATACAATAGAAGTCAATGGAAACGGAAACTGTTTGGTTACCAACATTATGAGGGCGAATAAATGACAGAACTTTAATTTTTGGGTGAACTATCCCTTTAAAGACTATGAAAGGAAAAAGAAAAAGGACATGTACCTCGTCTTAACATTCAAAAACTGGAATTAGATAAGAATAAGTAACAAAGGCAAAGACTAAAAAAAGATGTGCGACATAGCAACTCTGAACAATGTAGACAGAGTACAGGAAACTCAAAAGTATCAGAATGGAAAATACTAAATTTTAAGCAAGTTTTTGAAGTTGAAATTTGCAGATGATCAGTTTAATTAGTGAAGCTGCCTCTCTTAGGAAATTTTATTAATTTAACATTTTAAGGTCCATCAAAATTTGAAATATAATATTATTTTTAAAAAGTATTTTAAACTGAGCTGATTGAACAGCTTCTAATGTCAATTAAAAAAGTTGAAGTGATCAATGAAAATCTTAAAGTGACCATTTATATATTTCACTTAAATTGACCTTGAAGTGATTTTAGAGGCATAAAATCGGATACACTTTAGACTGAAACAAACAGTTGTCACATAAATTACAGCTTAAATATTAACAACCTGAAAAATGTACACTAGTACCTAGAGTTAGAGATCTTTGAGTCTTACAGCTCCACAAAAAGGTTCGTAAAAAGGTCTAATGTGCCGTTTTTACCTTTTTTTCCCCCTCTCCAACCGCAAAGTGGTTCAGCGATAGGGCTTGATACAGCAGAAGCCCAATTTGGCTCAGAAAAGAGGTTTACAGTGAACCTAGAAAACTAGCCGAGCACATCAGATGGGTGTGTTGGGCAGGTGACCATTCGAGCTGTTCAGCATACTGTTGCTGAGTGTGATGGGAGATTTGCCATTATGTGCCTGGTCATTGCGGGACTGTCCGTTAGGAGCTTGTCCATTCCGCTTTTCCAAACGAGGTGAGTGTCCTCTGAGAGACTCCCTCTCCTGGGGCATCGCACTTCCGCCCTTCTCGGCGTCCCTGCGAGAGGAAGGAGCTTGCGGGACAGTCCTGCCGTGACAAAGGTGCCTGAATTTCTTAACGGCGATCATTAGCAAGGCGCTGACGCACAGGGCTAAGAGAACGGACACCACCACTAGCTCCTGAAAGTAGCTGGGCTTGTCCGCTTGCTGGAGGTTTTCACCAGGCTCAGTCATTCGTGAGTTTTCCTTGTTCGTGCCAGACAATCGAGTAAAGTTCCTGCTTTTGCGCGTCGTGGCCACCGCCGAATCTTTGAGTGTGACAGTAGGATCCACATCCTCTGGTTTAGGCCTCGGCTCCATCTGTATGGGGGCAATGAGTCTGGGAATGTAGACAGGGGTTTTATTTCCCGCTTCAGTGGACGGGGTGCTGTGCGGGCGGTTCGGGGCGGCTGGTAGGATAGTGGGGTTGCTCTTCTGCTTAACGTGGTAGACGACCAGTGTTTGGGTGTAGCCGTTCTCCACAGCCTGGCACAGGTAGTGTCCCAGGGTGGAGGGGGTCGCCACAAAGCTGAGGCCGCCGTCATCTGACTGAATGTAGATTTTTGGCAAGAGCTGGCTGTTGAGACGCTCCCAGTGGCGTTTGGCGAGGTGTGACGCTTCTGGGCACTGCAGGTGCACTACTTCGTTTAGAGACACAGACACCACTTCACCTGGAGGACACACAGCTGAGGAGGTCAGGGGTCAAAGGTCAGCATTCACACCACACCGGCAACACAGACATGCAGTTAAACCAGTACTATGTATAGCACTTTATATGAGTAGGTACTAAACAAAGCTTGAAACTCTTAAACTGCACCAGAAATTGCCCCTTTTCCAAAATAAAAGTCAGTAAAGGAGGTGCTTAACATTCAGAAAATATTTCATGTCCACCTTGAGAGGTCAGAATTAAATAAATTTCATGTGGTTGTAATTTTTGCAACCCTATTATTATATGACTAAATAAAAAAACAAATTTGTGTGATTATTTTCTAGAAATAAGCACTACAAACACTAAAATTACAATTAAATAAAACATTCAAAATTAAGTAGAAAAAGAAGTGTTAACATTTTTAAGCACACTAGAATGGGCAACAAGGTCACAAACAGTGTTGGACTAACACATTACAAGTAATGCAAGTTACGTAATCAGATTACTTTTTTCAAGTAACTAGTAAAGTAACGCATTACTTTTAAATTTACAACAAAATATCGGAGTTACTTTTTCAAACAAGTAACATGTTATTTTCTTTTCCCATTTATTCACTGACGCCTCTCCTGTCCCCATGCTGAGACAAATCGGGAGTAAGTGCAGAGGCACTTCCTTCAGCCTGACGCTTATTCGTTTCACTTGTGGTGTGAAAAGGAATTCACAGTTGCCAAAAATATAATCTTTGGCTGTTTTTTTTTATTATTTAAAAACAAATAAGCAAGCTCAGCCCAGGAGACACAAAGTAATGAAAAAGTAACATAATGCATTACTTTCCATAAAAAGTAACACAATTAGTTACTTGTTTATGAAGTAACAATATTGTAATGCATTACTTTTAAAAGTAACTTTCCCCAGCACTGGTCACAAATTTATCTTAAATTATGCTATCACTCAGTATGGGCTGGCTAGTTTGGGACAAAACGTTGGTTTGCAGTTTCTGATAAACTTTTATTTACCATACACCAAGCATTTTTTAACAATAAAAGGGTTAAATCAATGGAAACACTAAAACCTGCTGAGGTTATGGAATTAAATTATTAACATGTAATGCTGTGGATGCCACAAGTTTATGAAATGTTATTTTTTAATAATGGAAAAATTATGCAGTGGTTGTGTGTAAAATGTGTGACGTTTCTAAATAATACGTTTTTATTTATTTTTTCTAAAATGAATTAAATATATATATAACCAGATTTCACCAACATTCTGACATTGCTGTATGATTTTATTGTTGTTAATTACTGAATGCAGGATGGGAGGTGGGAAAGGTCAAAAGTTTGTAGAAAGTGCCATAAACTGTACTGAACACACTTAAAGATGAGACCACACATCCTCTTTTTTCCCCAGACACGTCCTGGCCAGAATTTCTATATTGCCTAAAATATCCAGGTCTTGGCTTTGTTTTCCTGTTTTCATACTTGCGGAAGGTAATGATCGAAAAGTAGTTTGACCAATAACATGCAGGCATTGTACATAATCGACCAATCATGGCATGTGAGAAGGTGGGATCTACAGAGAACGGTCAAAGCGATGCAAATACACGTACATATCAGGTGTGTTCGACTTGAAGCAGCGCTGTGCAGACCGATCAGTGTATGACATCAAAATACAGCGAGAGCGATTCGAAAGCATAAGGAGCGTCTGCTCTCTATAGCTTTCACGGTACTGTGATATCAAACACTGATCGGTCTGCGCAGCGTAGACAAAACCTGGATATTTTAGGCAATACAGAAAACCTGGCCAGGATGTGTCCGGGAAAAAGAGGACGTATGGTCACCATACGTGACACAATGACAAACAATAATATTTCAGGGACTGCTACTGAGCTAGCCAAGTACAAGATTTGTAGCTGCAATTGATTCATTATCATATATGATTATTTTAATTATACATGATTAAAAACTATTATTATACATGGATTATTAAGCATAAATGATATATGAGACTCATGGGTTAGAAATCATTATACGTTGATGCCTAAACATATACTATGTATACATGAACTGTACTCACTTGAGGGGGTTCGGGACTGGCCAGAGCGTGTCCTGGAAGTCACATATGTACACTGCGCTGAAACATTTCCCTCATCTACATCCTGGACACTGTGAAGAGCAGTGAAAGAAGACATTAATAACAAAGGACAGCTTTATGCCCAACTATGCACACAGTTTTCTGATGTAACCTAATCAGTGTGAATTCTGAAATCTGGAATAAAAGCACATTACACTAACCCCATATTTGATAGAGTTAGTATTATGTTAGGTATGAATACGCTTGGCCGTGATGATACTTACAGATGGTCATGAGTGTGCACGTCTGTGCAGAGCTTCATCACAGGGTCCCAGCCGCAGAAAGGGTCTCTGGCTAAAACACACTCAGCACAGCTCCAGTAGTACGAGCAGTTGGACATGGGTACAGAAATGACCCCTTCTGAAGAGCCTATCAGCACTGCACCCTGGGACAGAGACAAACATTTACACTCAATGCTTCACAC